TGCGTCGTAAACCCTAAACAACGGCAACGGTACCGTAACTAGCTAAAGGCGCGTTTTTCTTCAAGGGCGCACGTCTTCAACTACGTCAGCGGTGCCATCAAGTCATCAATGGGGACGTCTGGGCCAAACGGTCCTCAGTGCGGCACATGTCAGCTGCTGGTGGCGTGCGGTGTTGGTGCCGCTCAGGACCGGTGTCGGCGGCTGTGATCTCGCTGACGGGACGGCGGCTGGCGCGGTGGACCGCCGGGTGCCCGGGTCGGAATGCCCCATGTCCGCTCGGTCGACAGGTGTGTTCCGGGCCGGCCGCCGCCCGGGGCCAGCGGCTTCCGCTCCGCTGGCGATGCGGTTTTGCCGCGGTAATTCAGCGGCAAGTTATCATTAGTCAGACAAAGCAATTATCTCGCTGGCCGAGGAATTCGCCTCCTCCGGCTGCCATTCTTGGGCCGCTCGTGGGACTTCGACATCTCCATGTTTAATGCAGATTTCTGTCATGCAGACAAAGGAACTCAAAGTGTTATGGGACGTCCGTAATTCCATCTCTTGCCAAACGTTCTACCTTGAACTTTTCCGAAGCTGTTTGAATCGTGTTTTTCCCCAGGCCACTGAAAGCCGAAGGAACAAAGCTGCTGGCTCTGCTCTTATCAGCTTCACCTGGCATACTGGTCTGATGCATTGAGCTCTGATTGGCTGGATTGTCGGGTCCAGAAGGAGCCGCTGTTTTTACCCCTCACCCTCTGCCGCACCGCCACACTCCTTAGCCGGTGCCGCCGTCCATTCCCTGGAGCCTGGCTTACCTCCGTAGTATGCGCGTTTTTCCTGCTCTCATGAAGCAAATCAGTGGTCAGTGGAGAGGAGGCTCCAGGCATGTTGAGGGGGGCAGGATTGCAGTCATGCCTCAACGAATTGTTCGGATGGGTGTTTTATTAAAAGCAGGCAATCTGAGGGGATGTGGGCAAGGTACTCGCAGCTATATAATGTGTCCGATTCACCCATCACCTGTGGATTGTTCACCGATCGGTAGCGCATGCTGTATGCTGTGTGAGCTAAAGTTAGGCTAAACAGTCTGGGACTGACCACGTTCAAACCGACCCCGTGACTCGGCGCCAACTGGCTGGGCCATACAGGTCAAATCGTCATTGCCAACGAGCTCACGACATCACGATACCTTTCGCATTCTGTCTTCCCAGCAGCCTCAGGGCCACTGCGCGGCCCGGCACCGCGAGCTCATGCCATTGCCACCCCACCCCTACCCACTCCCGTCCCCACCCTCGCCAGCGCTCATTCCTTTCCCAACGCCATGGCGCGGCCTCAGGACCGGCCCCGGCATCGCGAGCTCATGGCATTGCCCCCCCCCCCCCCCCTCCTCTCCATCCCCACCCCCCCTCGTCAGCGCTCATTCCTTTCCCATCGCCATGGCGCGGCCTCAGTGCCGGTCGCGGCACCGCGAGCTCATGGCAGTGCCCCCCCCCCCCATCCCCCTCTCCATCCCTCTGTCCCCTCCCATGGCCATGACGCAGCCCCAGCGTCGGTCTCGGCATCGCGAGCTCATGGCAGTGCCCCCCCCCCCCCCCCCTCTCCATCCCTCTGTCCCCTCTCATGGCCATGACGCAGCCCCAGCGTCGACCTCGGCACCGCGTGGTCAGGGCATTATGATCCCTTCTGTCGTGTCCTCCTATCAGCCCCAGGGTCATCCCGCACCCCACCACCGCCCCCAGCATCGCAACAACGGCCACACCGCTGTGCGTCTACCAAAGGTGACAATGCACGGTGTGGCGAGGCGATGGTGCTGCCGGCAGCCGGGGCTAGAGTAATGCGCTTACGAAGATAACGCAGCTCTGGGGTGGCGAAAATCGAACAAGGGAAGTCATCCTGGCTTGTAAGGGGAAAACAACAATGCCAATGACGTGCTGCGGTGTGGTAGGTGTTGTGCAGCGTCGGATCAGTTCAGCTGATGCTGCGGTGTGGTAGGTGTTGTGCAGCGTCGGATCAGCTCAGCTGATGCTGCGGTGTGGTAGGTGTTGTGCAGCGTCGGATCAGCTCAGCTGATGCTGCGGTGTGGTAGGTGTTGTGCAGCGTCGGATCAGCTCAGCTGATGCCGCGGTGTGGTAGGTGTTGTGCAGCGTCGGATCAGCTCAGCTGATGCCGCGGTGTGGTAGATGTTGTGCAGCGTCGGATCAGCTCAGCTGATGCTGCGGTGTGGCAGGTGTTGTGCAGCGTCGGATCAGCTCAGCTGATGCCGCGGTGTGGTAGGTGTTGTGCAGCGTCGGATCAGCTCAGCTGATGCCGCGGTGTGGTAGGTGTTGTGCAGCGTCGGATCAGCTCAGCTGATGCTGCGGTGTGGCAGGGGCTGTGCAGCGTCGGATCAGCTCAGCTGATGCTGTGGTGTGGTAGGTGTTGTGCAGCGTCGGATCAGCTCAGCTGATGCTGTGGTGTGGTAGGTGTTGTGCAGCGTCGGATCAGCTCAGCTGATGCTGCGGTGTGGCAGGGGTTGTGCAGCGTCGGATCAGCTCAGCTGATGCTGTGGTGTGGTAGGTGTTGTGCAGCGTCGGATCAGCTCAGCTGATGCTGTGGTGTGGTAGGTGTTGTGCAGCGTCGGATCAGCTCAGCTGATGCTGCGGTGTGGTAGGTGTTGTGCAGCGTCGGATCAGCTCAGCTGATGCTGCGGTGTGGTAGGTGTTGTGCAGCGTCGGATCAGCTCAGCTGATGCTGCGGTGTGGTAGGTGTTGTGCAGCGTCGGATCAGCTCAGCTGATGCTGCGGTGTGGTAGGTGTTGTGCAGCGTCAGATCAGCTCAGCTGAATGCGAGCACATTGTTGTTTTGCTGCATGCATACGTGAGCATGAAATTTGCGGAAAATTTGCTTACTGAAAGTAGACTGATTCCGACGTGATCGAGCGTTCAGTGACCGAGCACTGTTCGAGAGTCGAGAACATTTCTTTGGAATTAATCAACCATCGGCTCCATGAATGGAGCCAGATAACGCACCACCCGCGCTGTGCCAAGCTTCCGCATTGCAAAGAACTAAACTGGCGCCCACTGCCCTTGCTTAAAGGGAATACCCCGCTTCTGAAGATTTTGAGGTAAGCACCCGGTATGGTAGAGAAACCTCAGTTGTAACTATTGGTACGGTGTTAAGTGCTCACGTAGCCAAACACAACTAATTCAACGATTGTATTTTCTTGGCCTTGAGCACAACGTGGCCACTAAAGAGGTGAAATTCGTGGTGCGTTTCATTGACGCCATGAATATCTGTATGACCCTCAAATAAGGCTGGAGAAAAAGTCCGCACAAGTTTGCGTATATCAGGCTTAAGAAACCAGGGGGCTTGACGTCTTGATAAAGTCCTGGCTGTGAATTATCTTGAATTATCTTTAAAATGGCGAGGTCAGCTCAAAACCCAACACGAATGTGCTCTCTCTCTCCCTCCCTCTCAACCTCCCTCTCTCTCCCTCTCTCTCTCTCTCTCTCTCTCTCTCTCTCTCTTCTCTCTCCCTCTCTCCCTCTCTCTCTCCCTCTCTCTCCCTCTCTCTCTCTCCCTCTCTCTCTCTCCTCTTTCCCTCTCTCTCTCTCTATCTTTCTCTCTTCCCTCTCTCTCTCCCTCTCTATCTCTCTCTCCCTCTCTCTCTCCCTCTCTCTCTCTCTCTCTCTCTCTCTCTCTCTCTCTCTCTCTCTCTCTCTCTCTCTCTCTCTCTCTCTCTCTCGCTCTCTCCTCTCGCTAGCCACCAGCTGCCACATCAGCTGGTGAACGGTGAGCAGGCACCCGAACCGAGCGTGCTCAGCTTCAACGCGCCCGCCGCTGCTGTATCGCGACTAATCGCTATCACACGCCACGCTCCCGAGTGAGCCCAGCCAACATCGATCACGTGAGCGATCCCTCCGGACGCGCCGGGCAGAAGCCGCCGGGAAAACACCGTCGAAGCGCGCCGGACCGCTCGGGCGGTGACGTCGGCGAGAAAACAAACGGCCCGCGCGCTCAGACGGTGCTGCAGCAAGCTAAGCTTGCTGCTGTATTGTACGTTTGAACTCTAACACGGCGGTCGAAACGAGATGATGGTCAGGAATGTGGAATGTGATCAGGCGCTGCTGTGAGCGCAGGAAGTCCTTCCGCTTGGCCCCGAGGAGCCCGCATTTAGGCGTCGTGCGCACCACGTACGCCAGACAACAGCGCTTAAGAGCGGGTGGCACGCACTCGGACATCCGGTGCCCAGGGATGCCGCCTGAGTGACGGCGTGGGGCGTCCTTCTCACGCGCCGGCGCGTACACCAGATGATCGGGTGTGGGGCGTCCTTCTCACACGCCGGCGCGTGCACCAGATGATCGGATTATCTGTGGTTGGCACAGATGATCTGATCATCTGTGTGTCGTGAGGTCGACAGTCGCGCGCCCAGTGTTACAGGGTGGCCGTTCGTGTCAGCGGTCAGGGACCAGGCCAGGAATCGCGTGGTCCATGCCGATGGTGCGCGCTGGGCACTTTGACGCCGTTCCACATCTCTGCCTGGGACATTCTGGCAAGATGGACCGGGGCTTGGAGTTTACATCCCTGAAACTTTCTTATGGAAACATTAACCTTGAGGCATTCCAGCCGTCCTGAATTGCTGTTAAACATGGTAGAGCAAGGTCCAGAGCCGGGAGCGGGGCCCCCGCCGTTGCCGCCAGGGCTGACGCCGGTTGGCACTTGCGATCCGGGCATCAAGTGCTGACGCATCGCGTGCTGGCCGGCTCGACAGCCTGCTGTCGGCACGTGCGTCGACAGAGCTCTGTCGTGGAGCAGGGGAGGAGGCGCCCAGTGCATCGGAGGCGAGGACAGGCAGCCGACACGCCCGATTACATAAGGTGCGGGCCTGCCTGGGATGTCCGGCGGGCGGCCTTGTCATCAGGCGCTGACAGACGCCTGTGGACGGCTGCAGCACGGTGACCTGCTGCACCTGACATGAAGATCAGCATGGAGCCTGACATGCAGAGTGAGATCTCCTGAGCGCCTCACGCGGCATGGTGTGAGACCTCCTGAGCGCCTCACCCGGCATGGTGTGAGACCTCCTGAGCGCCTCACCCGGCATGGTGTGAGACCTCCTGAGCGCCTCACCCGGCATGGTGTGAGACCTCCTGAGCGCCTCACCCGGCATGGTGTGAGACCTCCTGAGCGCCTCACCCGGCATGGTGTGAAACCTCCTGAGCGCGTCATCCCGCGTGGAATGAGACCCCAGGAACGCCTCACACGGCGTGGATTGAGTCTGAGTGACCCAGTGTGGGAGCCAAATACAATTGTTCTGTACAGGCACGGGAGCCGGGCCCAGGCCACTCGTGCTCCGTGTACGGATCCACACTCTTTTCCCTCCTTGTATAGAGCGATCCGCACTCAAGGAGGAGCACGGAACCGTAATGCCGCGCCAGTGTAGCTTAGTCACGAGAACCACTGTCATTGCTCATAGATCGCTAGGTGCACAGGCGACTACATTTTGTTGGTTTTTAGTTGCAGTTTGCGCTGGTATTTTATTTTGGTATGCGGTTAAGCCAGATGTCGGTCCCTTACCCCAGAGGATATTCAGCTCTTTTACCGAAGATGTGATTTTTCATGTTATTTCCCACAGAGGCTTATGCAGCCGTTCAGCTGTGCGCGTGTGTCTTCGGGGAGCGGGGAGAGATTACATTTGGGCTGGTTTTCAAACAACAATACCTCGGAGACTGAAAAACTCCCGTCTCCCGGTGTATTATACCGGACCAGACCAGACTAGCCTGGGTAAAAACAGCAATATATTCAAAAATGAAAAATGTGTCGTTCATAGCAGCAGTAGATTCCAACTGCCTAAAACAAACTTTAATGTCATGATTGTGTACCATCCATCGAGCACTGTGTACGACCATTACTAAGGAAGCGATCTAGCGATTGGAGAAGATGCAATATATATATATATATATATATATATATATATATATATATATATATATATAATTAAGGATGTAACTAGCGATCGGAGAAGATGGTGGGAAAACAGCAGCAAGTTACTTTGAAAAATTTAACAGTAATATTTGTGTAGGGAATTTGGAGGTCGGGGCATAGTTTGCCCCCCATAACTTTTCTTTCTTTTTTAGGGAGGGGGGGGGGGCATTTGCCACTTTGGCACTTCCCCTTGGATCCGCACGTGGTTTCCGATGTCTCCGCTCGTGCCACGCGCTTCTTTTGCCTCCTGTCGCCCCGCCCCGCCCATCCGCCCCGTCCGCCCCGCCCGCCGGCGACAGCGGGCGGCAGGCATTCCTGGCAGGATCGTCCGCCGCGCCCCGCGGCGTCCGTCATGTTTTATTTATCGGCGCGACGATGCGTCGTATTTGCCGTGCGGCGGCAGACCCGGCGCGGCGACCCCGCGGCGATCCAGGCTAATTATCGTGGCTGCTCCAGGACATAGAGTCCGGCGCTCTTCACACAGGTCCGGACAGAGAAGCAGTGGGGGACGGGGAAGGCCGGTGCAGCTGAGCTTGGGCTGGCGAGGCGGTGTATGAAACGTGGCTGCTTACCATTCTCTTCTTCAATCTCCGCCATGTTGTGATGCTCTCTCTATGGCTTCCTGTTTGCTTCTCCTCTCTCTCTCCCCCTCTCTCTCCCTCTCTCCCCCCTCTCTCTCTCTCCCCCTCTCCCTCTCCCCGACCGGTCCAACGCGAACCCACACACCGGCGCCGGTCCGGACCCCGTCCCGCACCCTCGGCGCCCTCGGTACTAATTGAGCCCGCCGCCGCTCGTTATGCGCTCGTTGCAGCGTCGCCGCGCTAATGAGGGGGACATCAGCCGAAAGGCACCGCCCGGCTCATGCGCGACGGTAACGACCGCCCCGCGTCTGGCGCTAAAGACACGCTCCAATAGCGCGCTGCTGACTGGTGGCCGCCCCAGCGGAAGAGGGCAGCTGGGGTCTTGTTTTTTCTGTTTGCTGCGTATTGAGCTAGTCAGCGGTCAAGACGCTGTAGAGTCTCTCGGCGGAGCTCGGTCCAGTGTCGGCGGGCAAGGCGCTGTAGAGTCTCTGGGCGGGGCTCGGTCCGGTGTCAGCGGTCAAGGCACTGTAGGGTCTCTCGGCGGAGCTCGGCCCAATGTCAGCGGTCAAAATGCTGTAGAGTCTCTCGGCGGTGGTCCAATGCCAGCGACCAACACATCTGTAGAGTCCCGGCGGAGTCTGATCCAGTGCCAGCGGTCAAGACGCTGTAGAATCTCTCGGCGGCGGTCTAATGTCAGCGGTTAAGACGCTGTAGAGTCTCTCGACGGCGGACCGATGTCAGCGGCCAAGACATCTGTGAGACATAGAGTCTCTCGGCGGAGCTCGGTCCAATGTCAGCGATCAAGGCGCTGTAAAGTATCTCAGCGGTGACCCAGTGTCAGCACCCGAGACATCTGTGGAGTCTCTCGGCGGAGGCTGGTTCAATTCCTCCTAGCCTACAGTGATGTTCCATTAAGTTAATGTGCCGTTTCAATTCAGCTGCTGCCGGTCACTATGTGCAGGACTCTTGCGCCGTCCCTGATCGCCGTAGGTCTCTGCATAACTTCTCCAGTCCTCGCTGTATCCCTGATTAGCAACGCTCCCTGCCTCGTCGCGTTTCGAGCTCAGTTCTCAAGGCGCTACTCTAATTTCGTTCCGGCCGGGGTGTGCAGTGCCATCCATCACCGGCGCTCGTTTATTCATGGCTTCATTAACGCCGGGCCGGGACGGAGCGAGCGCGCTGGCGAACGGCTGATGATCGCCCACCGTGCCGGAGAACGACCGGAGACCGCCCGTCGCGCCGGCCTAGTCGGGTCACGGGACCGCGGCCTGTCGGCACATCGACGGACCGCGCCACCCCGTCGGCATGTGACGATGGGCGCCTGTGAGAGCGCCATCTACCGAGAGATTGGAGCTGGCCTCCGCTCGGCTCGGGGACGGGGCGTCCTCTGCTGAAGCCCACCACGAGAGTGGCGCAGGGGTGTGAAACGGACGGCTCTGCGGCTGGGTCGTAGAAATTAATGATTTCTGCCCTTTGTTACCGTGCAGAGGCGCTCTTACAGCCAAATTTACGACATTCTTTGGATGATTCAGGGTAAAGTAGAGGCCGTAAGGGCGGGACAAGGCAAAACCAAGGGCGAGTTGCCATGTTTTCGTCGATTGGTATCTTCGGTTAGAAGGCTGGTTTGGGCATATTAGGAGACAGCTGTCTGAGGCCGGCGGCTGCCACTTCAGGGCCAGTGTACCAGTTGCTATGATCATTGAAACTCCGTCATACCCGACGTTAGCAGGTCGCCGATGGTGGCACCAACTGGTCGAGAGCTTCGCGCGTAGCTCCGTCCCCGGCCGGTTCTAACATTATGTTACAAATGATCACCGATTACGTCCACGTCCACGTCCCATTCGTGGTAAGCCTCCGATACTGCCGGCCGTGTCTAGAAAGACGCCGGCTAGAAAGCGCCGATCCCGCAATAGTCGAAGAACACGACATTGTAAAAATGCAGATTTCAGATGCAGTAGGACCCGCAAGCCGTTTACCGGCATTCTTCGGCGCACCTCAATGCATGTCTAGTATCGGGCATGTAAACCGGTCTCCTCACCTAACCAGCCGGCTGTACCGAACCATCCCTCTCTGGGGCTCGTGACTCGGTACCACAAGGGCGGACTGTGTGCGGCGTGCAGCCGTGTCGACAGAGCGGTGTCTATTCACTCGGCACGTCCACGTCCACAGTCACGTCATCCCATGACAGATGGTCCGTCACCCTCCGGCGGCGATGACGGGCGGGTCAGTGGAGGACGGCCTTTTTGCCGCTGCGCTGGGCGCCAGGCGGAGCGTTAGCATGCGGGTCGGGGCCGCGCTGCCACAGAGCCCGCCGAGCCAGAGTGACCACGCACCAGAATGACCCCGCACCAGAGTGGCCCCGCCGCCACTGGGCCCGCCGTGCCAGAGTGACCCTGCACCAGAGTGACCCCGCCGCCACTGGGCCCGCCGCGCCAGAGTGACCACGCGCCAGAGTGACCCCGCACCAGAGTGGCCCCGCACCAGAGTGGCCCCGCCACAGAGCCCTCTGTGCCAGTGGCCCGCTGCGCCGGCGCAGCGAAGCCCGGCTATCACTCGGCTATCGGGTTGATATGCACGCTGTACGTACAGCCAAGGAAACGGGTGTGTCCCAGATGGGATCCTGTCCTCCGCTGTCACTTTACCTTTCGTATGGTTTATTCGCGGAGAGTAATACTGAGTCTGTATGTTTCAGATAGTGATATGGCATCCACCGGTGACCTGGGGCCACGCCGACCTCGCCTGGATGACCTAAGGCCACACCTAACCTGCGTCATCTGTGCCGGCTACTTCATCGATGCCACCACCATTGTTGAATGCCTGCACACATGTAAGTGTCATGTGACAGCGCAAATCGTCATGAGTTGACAGTCCCCAGCCCGCTACATTGTGCCACCTTGGCTCCGCTCTGTTCCCAGCCCACTACACTGTGCTACCCCGGCTCCGGCCCTGTCTCCAGCCCACTACAGTGTGCCACACCGGCTCCGGCCCTGCCTCCAGCCCACTACAGTGTGTCACACCGGCTCCGGCCCTGTCTCCAGCCCGCTACACTGTGCCACACCGGCTCCGGCCCTGTCTCCAGCCCACTACTGTGTGCCACACCGGTTCCGGCCCCTTTCCCAGCCCACTACACTGTGCCACACCGGTTCCGGCCCCTTTCCCAGCCCACTGCAGTGTGCCACCCGGCTCCGGCCCTGTTCCCAACCCACTACAGTGTGCCATCCCCGCTCCGGTCCTGTTCCCAGTCCACTACACCGTGCCACACCGGCTCCGGCCCCTTTCCCAGCCCACTACTCTGTGCCACATCGGCTCCGGTCCCGTTCCCAGCCCACTACAGCGTGCCACCCCGCCTCCGGTCCCTTTCCCAGCCCACTACAGTGTGCCACCCCGGCTCCGGCCCTGTTTCCAGCCCACGACAGTGTGCCACCCCGGCTCCGGCCCCTTTCCCAGCCCACTACACTGTGCCAAACCGGCTCCGGCCCCGTTCCCAGCCCACAACAGTGTGCCACCCCGGCTCCGGCCCCGTTCCCAGCCCACTACACTGTGCCACTCCGGCTCCGGCCCCTTTCCCAGCCCACTACACTGTGCCACACCGGTTCCGGCCCCTTTCCCAGCCCAGTACACTGTGCCACTCCGGCTCCGGCCTGTCCTCAGCCGACGCCCGAGGCTGGCGCGGCTGCCGCGCCGTATCGATTGGTCGGCTGAAATGAATGGGCAGTCGGCGCGGCCCGGAGCTCGGTTGACCTCAAGGCCGCAGCGGTCTGGGCCGGGGCACCGTCGTCGACCAGTATGCGTATGTAGGGGAGAATTGCTACATATGTAGCCATTGTCTCGAAATGAAAAAAGGAGAGCTGGGATTAACGTTCGCTGCTTTCCACACAACGCCTTGGACAGATGATAATTTTCTCGGAGTTGCTTGCCGCTACTTGGGTCAGCCAACTGCAACTCGAAACTAGCAAATGATCGCCGTTGGTGAAGTGCAGTAGAGGCGTGCAGCTGCGAACTTTGTCCATTGACGGGGCCCAATGCCGTGAACCTCGGCGTGTGCCAGCGTCTGACGGGGCCCAATGCCGTGAACCTCGGCGTGTGCCAGCGTCTGACGGGGCCCAGATGCCGTGAACCTCGGCGTGTGCCAGCGTCTGACGGGGCCCAATGCCGTGAACCTCGGCGTGTGCCAGCGTCTGACGGGGCCCAATGCCGTGAACCTCGGCGTGCGCCAGCGTCTGACGGGGCCCAATGCCGTGAACCTCGGCGTGTGCCAGCGTCTGACGGGGCCCAATGCCGTGAACCTCGGCGTGCGCCAGCGTCTGACGGGGCCCAATGCCGTGAGCCTCGGCGTGCGCCAGCGTCTGACGGGGCCCAATGCCGTGAACCTCGGCGTGCGCCAGCGTCTGAGTCACCTTTCCCTCAGCCATGAGTCGGACACAGCTGTGAATCGTTTCGTAGTTAACAGCGGCGAACTTTTAGCAGTAGGCTGCCAACCGTTTCACCCATGCACAGCGCGCGTTTTTATCTGGCCACTGGGGCCCCTTTGTTTGCCATCCGCGTTGCAACGCCCTACGTCCTCTGCACTTAAATAGCCTCCACACACAACCCACTTGCTCCCGCCTAAGCTCATCCCGTGTTTTCATTGGTCGCCGAGCTGTGCCCCCCTCCCCTCCCCTCCCCCTGCATTGGCACGGATACCGCTGACTCGGCGCGTGGCGCGCGTGTCTGTCCAGGGACACGTGTGGGGATGGGCAGCACGTGCCGCGAGGGCGGACACACGGGGCCGGCTGCGCGACGCGCGCTCGGCCTCATTAATGTAAACGCTCACGATTGGTAACGATGGCTATCTGGCCGCCTCCTCTGCCTATCTAGGGGGGGGGGAGGGGATATACCGCGGTCACGTGTGCTGGAGGGAGAGGGTGTTGACACGCAGGCGGTAACCGAAGCGGAGCAGAGAAGGAGGCCGCGAAGTTGGTGTTGTTGGCCGCCGTTGGTCGCACGCGCTGCTCTTTAATGGTAACGCGTTTGCGCACGCGGCGTGACCAGCAGGGCCGCTGGGACGCGGACTCATGGTCGATCGGTGCCAGCGCAAGGTCTTCCTCACACTAGCCCTCCGTGCCAGCGCAAGGTCTTCCTCACACTAGCTCTCCGTGCCAGCGCAAGGTCTTCCTCACACTAGCTCTCCGTGCCAGCGCAAGGTCTTCCTCACACTAGCTCTCCGTGCCAGCGCAAGATCTTCCTCACACTAGCTCTCCGTGCCAGCGCAAGGTCTTCCTCACACTAGCTCTCGGTTTCAGTTTGTCGTTCCTGCATACTACGCCACCTTGCAGCCAGCAGCTACTGTCCCGTGTGTGACGTCATGATACACAGGACCAAGGGCTCCACCAGTCTCAGGTAAGGGGGCGTTATGGCCGAGGGGCTGGCGTAATGGCCGAGGGGCTGGCGCGTCGGACTCCCTCGTGTGTGTGGTAGGGGGGGGGGGGAGGCGAATAATCATGATAACGATTCACGATTACGCCATGATCCCTAATGGCTAATATGGCCAAAGCAGTCACTAGCGCTCCATTAAAGGGGCGTGACGACGTGCTCCACGTTCCCTTAAAAAAGTCTCGTGTAGCTAACATCCGAATAAAACTTTGTGCAAATGATTGTCTAAGATCTCAGGTCCACGTCTTCTCAGCGCGTTGATGAGCCAGGGAAAGTCTGGCTAGGACAGAGGACTGTTGCTGCCAAGACAGCGGGCAGATCTCACTAGGGCAGAGGACTACTACTGCCAGGACAGCGAGCAGGTCTGACTAGGACAGAGGACTGTTACTGCCAAGACAGCGAGCAGGTCTGATTAGGACAGAGGACTGTTGCTGCTAGGCCAGTGAACAGGTCTGACCAGGGCAGGGACTGTTGCTGCCAAGACAGGGGGGTCACCACATGGGCTCGTCGCGCTAGGATGGACGATGCCATCGGTGTCTGTCAGGGGCGTACACAGGTCTGGATGGACGATACCATCTGTGTCTGTCAGGGGCGTACACAGGTCCGGATGGACGATACCATCTGTGTCTGTCAGGGGCATACACAGGTCTGGATGAACGATACCATCTGTGTCTGTCAGGAGCGTACACAGGTCCGGATGGACGATACCATATATGCCTGTCAGAAGCGCACACAGGTCAGGATGGGCCATACCATCGGGGTCTGTGAGGGGCGACAAAGAATTTCGCACTGGGGTTCGGGGTGGGGAAAACCAAGTTTTGTGCGGACCCTTACCCCCGGCAGCTAGAAATATCAATACACTCCTGGTATCTGTTGCCTAGGCCAACTTTTCCGCACCAGTAGCCCTATCTCGGAAGAGTGCTGATGTACCTTTCTGAATGATAACTCGCCCAGCAATTAGCGTCGGGTTGATCGGAACCCTTGTTTGGTGGCATCTGACGCAGCTTGACGGTCCGCCACGTGGGGGCCGGCTTTGTTGCTGACCGACGGCGTTTGTGATCAGCGCTGGTCGAGACATACAGAGCGAGTCTCGCCAGCGGCAGCCGCTGTTGTGCGCACCCACCGGCAGCCTCTGCCGTACGCGCCCACCGGCAGCCTCTGCTGTACGCACCCACCGGCAGCCTCTGCTGTACGCACCCACCGGCAGCCTCTGCCGTACGCACCCACCGGCAGCCTCTGCTGTACGCACCCACCGGCAGCCTCTGCTGCACGCACCCACCGGCAGCCTCTGCTGTACGCACCCACCGGCAGCCTCTGCCGTACGCACCCACCGGCAGCCTCTGCTGTACGCACCCACCGGCAGCTTTGCCGTACGAACCCACCGGCGGCCTCTGCCGCACGCACCCACCGGCAGCTTCTGCTGTACGCACCCACCGCGACCCTCACTGAACCGAGCTGCCCGGCACGCCCCGTTAGCTCAGGCTGTTTGCGGTGACGCGGCCACCCCTCGTTCGCTGCGGTTTTCCGGCGACTGGCCGGGCTGATGGATCAATTTTGGTTTTTCGGCCGGGTCCCACCCCTGGATCTCCCAGGCTGCCATCGGCCAACTGTTGTCCCCAGCTGAACCCTCGGGTGCGGTGCTGGACCATGTGTGCAGCGATGGGCGCGGCCATCACCTCGTCCTTCCGATTCGTTATCGGCAAAATCGGACGGAGAAACCAAAGCTTTACTTTCATTGTCTCACCAAAATAACACAAATCACTTATTCCTATGTTCTTTGTGCACAGGAAGCTTTGCTTTACAGTTTCAGCGGAGGGCAATGTAGAAGCAAACTGCTTTGCAAGAACATGATTACTGCTCTTTATGTTTTTAATTACTTGTTAATAAGCGGAAGAGGCATTTGCCTTCTAGTTGGACCGTGATTTCAGCGCATAATAATTCTATATTTGTCTTCCAGTGAAGCAGGCATCCCCGAAAAATGCTTATCACTTTATAACAAAAGTGAAATAGTGCCATTGACTACCTTAAGAATTTGGGGCAAGTGATGCAATGTTCTCCAAACTGCCACCATTCTATCATATATCAGGTATTTCAGCCAGCCGTGGCCTCTCGCTCTTCTGTTTCAGTCTTAGTTGCAAATGAACCCAGATCACGACCGAATTCTTTTCTGTATTTCAGGGCAGACCGCATCCTCCAGACCATGGTGTACAAACTAGTCCCGGGCCTCTTCAGAGATGAGATGAAACAGCGGAGACAGTTCTACGAGATGAAACCCTACGCAGGTGAGTTTGTGCCTACTTCACCACCTTCTTGGTTATTTTTCATGGTCAACATTCTGTCGCAGCGCTTCTTAGTGTGACATGGTTGGTCACATCTCGCCCAGTGGGCGAAAGCCGCGCCTCCGGCCTTGTGGCGGGCCACTGGCCCTGGGCCTAGCCTCAGCACGTGTCTTGGTCGCGCCGGTCCTTGCCCCGCCTGTCCAGATGGCTATCTTCAATAGCCAATTTATCGGCGGCGGAGTCGTGGTCCGCTGCAGAGTGTCTGCAATCATACGGGTGCCGGCCGCGGCCGGGGCGGCGCCGGCTCAGTCCGGCGAGGCCTCACACTGATTTAGTGGCGTCCAGCTGACGGCGAGGAGCCCGGCTCCAAGTGGCACGTGCTAATGGCTCTCACGACGCGCCGCCGTGATGTATGCCGATGACGTTTTGTTTGTGGGGCCCTCGGCTCTGGCCGACCGCCTAGAAATTTCTGCTCGATAATTTAGAAGCTCGGAAACATGCTTTCCTTGTCTTCTTTAGTTCTTTGGCTATCTATTTCCACTCCCGTTACCGCTGTTCTCTCTCTCTCTCTCTCTCTCTCTCTCTCTCTCTCTCTCTCTCTCTCTCTCTCTCTCTCTCTCTCTCTCTCTCTCTCTCTCTCTCTCTCTCTCTCTCTCTCTCTCTCTCTCTCTCTCTCTCTCTCTCTCTCTCTCTCTCTCTCTCTCTCTCTCTCTCTCTCTCTCTCTCCTCTCTCCTCTCTCTCTCTCTCTCTCTCTCTCTCTCTCTCTCTCTCTCTCTCTCTCTCTCTCTCTCTCTCTCTCTCTCTCTCTCTCTCTCTCTCTCTCTCTCTCTCTCTCTCTCTCTCTCTCTCTCTCTCTCTCTCTCTCTCTCTCTCTCTCTCTCTCTCTCTCTCTCTCTCTCTCTCTCTCTCTCTCTCTCTCTCTCTCTCTCTCTCTCTCTCTCTCTCTCTCTCTCTCTCTCTCTCTCTCTCTCTCTCTCTCTCTCTCTCTCTCTCTCTCTCTCTCTCTCTCTCTCTCTCTCTCTCTCTCTCTCTCTCTCTCTCTTTCACTCTCTCTCTCTCTTTCGTGGATCAACTGATCAAACAATACTCCCTGAGTTACGCTGGCCATACGCTGGGAGCGGTGTGGGAGCTCTGGGAGGTACGCCGGGTTGCTGAATGTAGCCGGCCGACCCCGGCACAAGTCACCGTTTAACGCCTGCACAGAACATGGCGGATCTGAGGCAGACACTGACCGAGCAATCGGCAGTCCGGCGCGGGAAGGGCAGAGGTGGTGCCGAAAGGCGGCCGCTGATCAAAGGGGCAATAGACTTGCGGTTTTGTTGGCGCGTAATGAATTTGTCAGAATTCGACGGGAAATTTTAGTTTGGTACAGCATAAGCTGTTTTTCCAGAATCGGGCGTTCCAGATCTTACCATATTTCTCCGTATGCGGATAGGTGTATTCCAGACCCTGGAGCTAACGCTGCCACCTTTGCAGACCCGGAGCTGCCTGGCTGGGCCAAGGGGGACGTGGACTCGTTCGTGCCGCACGTCTACACGGCCGACGAGGACGTCCACGTCCGGCTGGCGCTCTTCACCGCCGACCGGTACGTTCATCACGTGACCTAACGGGCCCGTCGGCCGGCGGCTGCGCCGCCGCGCCGGGCTGTCGGGAGCGATGTCGCGTGACGCTAGTCATGTGTGACAGTGGTGCTTTACGACGCACTCAGCTACTGAGCCTATATGGTGCCGCCTGCCTGTCACCCTGGCATGAAGGGCGGTCACTGCAGGGTGATGCCAGTAAGCGCGAGACCAGGCCTGCTGTTGGACAATCGGTCTGAGGACTGACTGTGTGGACAATCAGTCTAAAGGCCGGCTGTGTGGACAATCCATCTGGGGCTGGCTGTGCGTCTGGTCTGACAGAAGCTGACTTTTCCGTCAACCTCTTGGGTAGCACACTGTCATGCTGATCTCGAAGCTGATTGGGGCCAGCCAGGGAGCTGGTTGTCGAGGCGGTCAGGAAGCTAGCTGTATATCGAGTGGGTTGCAGAGCTGGGCTGCATGCTGAGTCATTAAATGATGGGACGGTAGCAGGTTGGGATGGAAGTCGGCGTGCGGTGCGGTCCTCAGCACCGGGCGATCTGTCCCGTGGTGGTCGCAGCACCGGGCGATCTGTCCCGTGGTGGTCGCAGCACCGGGCGATCTGTCCCGTGGTGGTCGCAGCACCGGGCGATCTGTCCCGTGGTGGTCGCAGCACCGGGCAATCTGTCCCGTGGTGGTCGCAGCACCGGGCGATCTGTCCCGTGGTGGTCGCAGCACCGGGCGATCTGTCCCGTGGTGGTCGCAGCACCGGGAGATCTGTCCCGTGGTGGTCGCAGCACGTGCACTGACCTTTGGCCCATGAGCCGGCGTCGATTTGGCCGATCACGTTTCCTGCACGCAATGGAAGGCAAACAGGGTCGCCCCGTTATGTGTGTGGGCGGGCTGGCCGCCATAACTAGCGTTAAGGTTCGGCTTCGTACTCAGCTGAACCAGCAGCGAACCAAACAATGCTGACGCTACCGTGCAGGGCTTGCGGGGCCAGCTCCGAGGAGTCGGGGAAAGAGCCGTCTGAAGCCGTACCCCCGGCGCGCTACCTGCGCTGTGCGGCCCGTACACCGCTCACCGTGCTGCAGAAGTTTGTCCGGACCAAGTTCCAGCTATCCCCAGTTGTGCAGGTGAGTGTGATGAGGCGTTTGCGTCCTCCGATTGGTCACCTGGTGCACCTGTCGCCTGTCCAGCTACTTAACACCTGATATAAAGGCTCAAACGCGACCGAGTATTGGGCTTTAAGGTCTACGCTTAACATTCAGCTCCAAACCCAGTACATCAACCAAGACGGTCAGGAGCCGTACGAAGAAACTCCATACCACGGTTGAATCGTTGCTGACCGAGTCATTAAAGCTTTAGTTTTCTCCACCAGTGCCCGCAGGTTTAGGAAGAGAGACGACAGGCCGGGCCTCGAGCACGTAGCGACGCAGTGTGTTGCCGGCAGGTCCAGCTAATCTATGGGGAGCATGTTCTTCCGGAGGACATCAGCCTGATGGACCTGGGCTTCATGTACCGCCCGACGCAGGTTAGCGAGTCATTGCTGTCATCATGGCATGAATGTGTGAATAAAGTGGTTTCGACGCACAACCCTACCACGTCCGTAGGTGTTTCGTGCTCGTGTAGGCGAAGCGGAAAATGCGGAGTGCGCTCCTGTTTTTTTACGGGGGATTTGAATGGGTGTGAATTTGAACACACGTTTTGCTTTACGTCGCAGGATGAATGCGTCACTTCATTTCCAAAAGCGTTTGCTCCATAACTTTAAAATGTACAGATGGAGGTCGGTGCACGGGATGGTTTCTTGATACGTGCATAACCGTGCTGTTCTCTCAGGGTCACGGCAGTGCACTTTTCAGCTAGCAACCACTTGTTTGCGCTTAGTATCGTCCGCTATCATCTGTTAATCCTATGACTGCAAATGCCTCAAACAGGAGGCCGCATCAGCCGTCTCTTGAGCTGTCGGTCGTGCTCAGTGGGCCGGCGCCAGAGCGCAAACTCTCGACACATGCGAAGCGCTTCTCAAGTGCAAGTCACCGCCGCAATCAAAATCCTTGAACGTTCCCATCATGGCCCATCATCTCCCTCGGCGCCCTTTCAAGTCCGTGCAACAACATTGTCAAGAATCCCGACAGCGTCGTGCTGCCGTTTTCCGGGCCGTCCGCCCTTCAGGGCCTGCCGCCAGACCGGCCGGCGGACCGCGGCATCCGCATTATCATGCTCGGGAGCCGTTCCGCTGGCGCGCTCACGCCGCGCCGCCCGCGCGCGGCCGCAGCCGGCCGGCCGGCACGTCCCATTGTCGTGCCGCGGCGCGTGTGAAATGACCACGGGCCGCCGGCGCCGCCGCGCTCGCCTCGCGAGCGAAAACACGCCGGGCGCCGCGCCGCATGAAAATGCAATGAGGGTGGGGTGCGAACGTCGTTTGGCGGACGGATTGATTTTCACGCCCCATTGCCGCCAGCCGCACCCGTCACTCCAACTGGCGGCTGGCCGGCACATCGCTCACGATCCCCTGCCCCGGTTACAGGGCGCTCCGGTCCGGTTGGCGTACCGCTTCGTGAGGAAGCGTCCTGCCGCCTCGCGGCCGCCGGAGGTGGCGGGGGAGCCTGCCGCGAAGCATCCGAGGATAGGACCTGCGGAGCTGAAGCGGCCCGTGGTCCTCCTGGAGCGGATGTTCGACGCCGACGACGAGGAGCCGTCGTCGCCGCAGGTGGTGGAGGACATCATCGCCAGCCTGGACGCGGAGGAGGAGCCCGGCGGCCTTGCCCAGAACAGAGCAGCTCGACCTCCTGGCGATCTGACGGACTACTTGGCGGCGCATGACGACAAGGTCCTCTGTTCGTCCTCCGGACGCTGTGTTGAGCCCTCCACGGACTGCGATGGTCCCTCCGCAGCGGCTAGTGACGCAAGAGAGGCTGGCGTCGGTGATCCCTCCGCAGCGGCTAGTGACGCAAGAGAGGTTGGCGTCGGTGATCCCTCCGCAGCGGCTAGTGACGCAAGAGAGGCTGGTGTCGGTGATCCCTCCGCGTCGGCTAGTAACGCAAGGGAGCCTGGTGTCGGTGATCTCTCCGCAGCGGCTAGTGACGCAAGGGAGGCTGATGTCGGTGATCTCTCCGCAGCGGCTAGTGACGCAAGAGAGGCTGGTGTCGGTGATCCCTCCGCGTCGGCTAGTGACGCAAGGGAGCCTGGTGTCGGTGATCCCTCCGCGTCGGCTAGTGACGCAAGAGAGGCTGATGTCGGTGATCTCTCCGCAGCGGCTAGTGACGTGAGGGAGGCTGGTGTCGGTGCCGGTGATGACAGCACGTGCTCTTCGGAAGTGGGCATACACGCGCTGAGCGAGGACGCCCTCACTCGGTCTCAGGAAGAGATGAGCCTGGCAGACAGCGGCAGGTGCTCGTCAGCCAGTGACGCAGACGCGACGGACAGTGAAGCGGCTGTCGGTCTGAGCTACGCGGCGAATAGTGACGCACTCGCCGAGGATTGCCATCACATGGTCGAATCCAATGGTGTTTCAGTGACGTCCAAAGAAGCTCTCGCGAACTGTGAAAGAGATCACTCCGCTTGTCACATCGTCAGTGAGGGTGTGAACAACGAATCGGGGTCCGACTTTGCTGGGAAAATGTCACGTACTGCAAAAGTTCAACACTACGAGGGGCGTGATGAGACAGGGAATGTGTCCAGCAGAACAATCCACCCAGCGAGAAGTGACGTTGTGGCCATGCCTGATAACACTGGCGACGATAATCACGTGAAACGAAACGGAGAAGCAACAGGTGGCCTGCTCGTGGTGTCTGAAGGAAGCAGCAAGAATGGGCGACGCGACGAGCAAACGACCGCCCATCTGGAGGCGTCCGGGGAGGATTGTGAAGCGGGTGCGGAGGTCAGCGAGCACGACACCGAAGCGGCTGGCGGCACCACTGCATCCAGTGTCCCGCCCTCGAACCCAACAAGGGAACCTAAGGATGGCTGCGATGTCCGTAGGGGATCACCCCAGCAGGCCAGTCCCTCCACCATTCCTGAACCTGACCACTCCGCGCCGTCTGGGCTCGCTAAGAAACCTGACCTCGCCAGGGTCACTGCGGGCCCTGAGACAGTTCCCTCCAGGCCCTCCGTGTCGTGCTCCACCCAGGCAGCGGAGCCGCAGGGACAGCGTCTCACCCCTCCGACAAAGGTGGACTGCTCCGTGCAGACCGTGCCCGCGGCACGAGTGAGGAAGGTGTCCAAAGAGAGGTCTGTGTTTTACACCGACGCAAGGAACAACTCATCGCTTGGTCATCCTGTTACTTCACAACGGAATTCGCTGAAAAGTTTGGCACCAGCGTTGGCTGGTCGTGGACCGCGAAGCGAAAGGGACACGACGTGCAGGACAAGACCACCACCTGCTATGGTACCGCAACCGCTCGGTGGTAGTGCCTTGGACGAACCTGATTTCAAGGGACGGAACGGACTGCCGACGCCGACAGAGTGCGATGAAACATTACCAAATGAACGAGCGCCGAAAGTCATTCCAAAGAAGAATCCCACAACAGTGCTTAAGATTCCATACGCATCTGCCAGAAAATACAGCCTAGCGACGTCGGAATCAGCAAAAATCTCTGAAATGTATCCCATAACTAAACTCATGGACTTCAAAATGGCCGAAAACCGCCCTAGCAGTCCCAACATGTCTAGCGGAAAGCTATCTAATGACTTCATGCAGTATTTCAGAGAAATACGCGGAGCTCCAGGAAGCACGACCAAATCCTTCGATAAGCACTACAAGACCCCCACTGGAGTTCCTCTTGATCTTTCCACACACGTGGAGAAGACGGCTGTCGCTGATTCGACATCGACACTCGGGAAGCCATCGTCTCCTGCACTCAAGTCAAAGCCGCGGAAGCGCAAGCCAGCAAAGGCCCAGGGCACTCAGACGATACACTCAATTGTGAACAGTCTTTCTCGGTCTCACCAGATATCACTAACGCCCATTCCCTCCGCCTCGGCAGGAACACAGGCCACTCCATCTCCGAAGGCCTCGGCTCCAAAAGAGCACCGTTCAACACCCTGCGCACCGATGCCCGTGCCGTTCCCCTGGACGCCCTCCTCTTTGGCTCCGAACAACCTTTACTCGGCTCCGCTGCATGTCAACACGAGCATGGCCAGCCGCTTGGGCTACGACATGGCCATGCGAAATCTGCTGACACTCTCCCACATGGCCATGGCCCAGGGCGGTGTGGTCCGTCCGCCCATGTTTCCGATGCAGGCCATGTTCCCGCCTCGGCCCAAGAGCCAGGACTTCCACCCGATCCCAGACCCGTCGCTGCTGCGGCAGCAGTCCGAGGCGCGGATGGGGGCCGCCTCCAAGAAGGCGTCGCCGACGGCGGGCACCACGGCTCCGCAGCTGCGGACTCCGACCGCGCTCACGTCGGCCTCGATCCAGCACATGGAGGACCTGACGCGGACGCTGGGCAAGCGGCCCGAGAAGCAGCGTCACTCTGTCACTGTGACGGCCGTACCCTCCCGCCAGTGACGTCAGCCGGGCGGCCCGGGTGCAGGCCGACGCCAGTGCCGCAGGCCGCCAGACCCTTGGTCGGTCGATCGACACCCGACACCAGCCGCGGGCGCCCCGGCTGCAGGCGGTGACGTCACACTCGCCGGGTTTTGCCTGTCGTCGGTTATCGCAACGCTTCGCCGATGACGTCACCCGAGTGGCCGGCCGCCTCGGTCTGCTGCCGCCCGCGCACGCGTACCGGCGAGCGGCGCGGCGAGGTCGGGCGCGTGGGCCCGAGTACCCCAGGGTCAGCGACCCGGCGGGCCAAGAATGGCGCGCCGGTACTGGACACAACCTGAGGCCAGCGACGGGGCAGCAGGCAGCGCACGCTTGGCGCGACGTCCCCGGTGCAGACTGGGCGCCGGCGGCTCCCATTACGTGAGTGTCAGCATCCTGCGTTTACAGTGATGGCTAGGTTCATGCAACGACATGCCTTGAAGACAAATTTTGACGCATACCTTGCTGTTCTGTAAAGATGTTCTATGCATATTGAACCCAAAAATAATTACTGTCTGAAAGATGTCATTTGCCGAAAGGAGCTGTGGAAGTGTGCAAGTGCTACCTCGAGCTTATGCTGTAAAATAGCTTGTAGCGTAAAACAGTGATGCGTACCTAGCAACGCATCGGCAATGAACGCGCACCTGTCCGTCGAATGCGTAATTGCATTCCTTCAAAAAACGATGCGTGGACATAGATGGGAGAGGGAGGCGTGGCTAGATCTCAGCGAGTGCGACATTCTATGCCCGATCTTGACGAGGCTCGTAACGAGACGAGTTAGACGAGACTCGGATAAGTTGCGGTTTTATAGCGTTCGATGTTCGACGTTTGACGTTCGACGTCGTGCTGTCTCGGTGTTTGGCCGTGATAAAAATGACAGTTTTGTTCAGAATCTAACGCGGTGTTTGTTTTTCCAGTTACCTGCCTCCTAGAATGTTGTGACTGATGTCTTGCAATGCACATGCTTGAAGTTGTCATTGCTCATTGCGTATCGCTGATTTGAAGGCTTTTTCCATACCAGTGTCCGCTATCCTGCCGGTGCCAAACCACCAGCGTAGTACATGAGCGTCTGCAAATATGTAAATACATATGCAAGCGGAGCGGTATCGTCTTCCAGAGCAGCTATGTCAGCTGTGGGGCGTGTACCTCATCCGTGGGAAGACGTGCGGATGGCACATCGCGGAGGGATTATGGTCCAAGCGGAACGGTATCGTCTTCCAGAGCAGCCATGTCAGCTGTGAGGCGCATAACTCATCCGCGGGAAGACGTGTGGATGGCACACCGCTGAGGGATTGTGTATTAAGTTATGTGCTAGCTTAATTTCGGAGTGCAGTTACTCACGCTGATGGCGTTGTCGAGACCGTCAACACAGTTACCTAGTGCGCAAAGCCATAAGGTCGACGCTTCGCCGAATCCGCCACTTAAAGCCAACACACGCAGGCTGCAGGAGCTATCGAAGCGATGACGTGAAGGCCATGCAAGAGACCAAGTAGGTAGCAGGAGCGGGGCATGCGGACAATCGGCCCAAATTGCGTTTTGACGACTAGAAAGGAGAATTGCTGACAGCGTTAACAGCAACCAAGAGGGATGACGACACCGCACAATTTGCATTTAAGCTGTTCTCGGACGTCCGTGGCAGGGTGACGTTTTTAGCATTCTGTCAACCAAATCAAATGTTCTGCGACCACGTTGCCACTCTCCGGGTTCGATGTCAAAACATTCACAAATGTGACAGCCGACATTTACCGTTACAATAAGTTGCTGCCACGCTGGTCTCACCTCTCTGATAGAGACCTCCGTCACTAACGCTCACGTCGAGGCGGCATCCACCGTAGCATCCTCGCGACGCGGCCTGTGCGCTCCGGGCGCCTGACCTGACCTTAGAGGGCGCGGTAATGTGGAGCGCTCCGGGCACCTGACCTGACCTCAGAGGGCGCGGTAATGTGGATCGCTCCGGGCACCTGACCTGACCTCAGAGGGCGCGGTAATGTGGAGCGCTCCGGGCACCTGACCTGACCTCAGAGGGCGCGGTAATGTGGAGCGCTCCGGGCGCCTGACCTGACCTCAGAGGGCGCGGTAATGTGGATCGCTCCGGGCACCTAGCCTGACCTCAGAGGGCGCGGTAATGTGGAGCGCTCCGGGCACCTGACCTGACCTCAGAAAGCGTCGTACTGTGTAGCCGTTCCTGGGCTGGTACACCAGCAACGGGAGGAGCTCCGCTCGCACGGTCGGCCGTGATAGCTGCCGGCGGTAGCCAGAGGCTAACACTTGCCATAGACTATGCGTCGACACTGTACGGCTCGGAGCCGCGGCTCGCTCCATTTCAAGAGGCGCTGTAGATAAGTCTGGTTAAAGGGAATGTTCCACATTTGAAGATATAGAAGAAAACATCGGATAAGAATTTTGCTGTTTAGTGGATATGCTTTCCAGTTCGTCATTGTTTGATCATTTCATCGTACCTTACACAGCATAGATTGAGAGCCAATTGACAGCCGTTTTATCTGGAAATCGTGCTCACAAACGCCAAATATGAGTGACTCGACAATTATACTTTTATTGGCCTTAATCGCCGCATGGTCAATGGAATGGCAGGATTCGAATGGCGTTATGGACGCCTGGGTAGCCTCAAAATAGACTGCCCGAAATAGTTTGCACATCTTCCCGGGCGTGTAGCTCAGAGACTAAAAGAGTTTAGGTCTTAAGAAGGTCAGGACTGTGAACTGCACCGAATGAACTTCAATATGGCTCTTTCAGTTCAAAACCTCATACTTATTTGGAACACTCCCTTTAAGCATCACAGTTATTCCGTGCTGTGCTCCCAATGCAATAACAGCACGCCACTTTGCACGTCCTAGAGAGCAAATAACGAAGCAACAGCATTAAAACGCATGACGAAAAATTACATCGCGCATGTACGTATTTCAAGTTTTACATATTTGCAATAAGCGCATAATTTTCTCAGAAGGAACAGCAGAATTTTTTTGATATTACGATTGTTACGATTGCTTCACTTTCACCAAATTTTCTAGGACTGATATGCCATCACACTAGTTAGCCTCTTTTACACTTCGGGTGATCCAAGTGAGCTTCCCAGTGTCACGTTCCTTGTCACCTAGGCCCGCGCACTCGCTACAGGTGGCTGTTGCAACAGCCTGCAGAGCTGGTCCTCTCCCTTAAACTAGTGATCACTTCAGGGGGCGCTGAGGGACCGTCCATCAATTACGATACCGCATTTTTCTCTCATCGTTCAACCTACTCTCCCCATAGTAGTAGCACTGGTTACGCTGGGTGCCCCCCGCCCCCCCCCCCTTCCCTCTGGGAACGCTGCTGGAGCATACGCTTCACAATTTTAGCATGATTTGCAACCGCGCCTGAGCGTAATGCAGCGCGGTTCGAAACTACTTCGTCCCGCAGCCAGTTGGCGGACGCTTCTTGATCGCCACATGGATAACGGAATGACGGAATTTGACCAACGTTTTTATGGCGTCATAAATGCTCGGATAACCTTGATATAGTCTGCACAAATAGTGTACAAGTTTTCGCGGGCGTACAGCTCAGAAATAAGAAGAGTTTAGGTCTTAAGATGGGAATGGCCGTGTGCTGCATGGAATGGTCTTCAAGATGCTAATTTCTTTAAAAAGCATGCAAAGTTAGAACACTTCCGTCACTCATGAAGCGCAGTAGATATATGTGGTCTGCTGACGAGCCATGACATCATCACCTTAATGGTCTGCCGTCAAGCCGCAAGGGGTCTGCTGTCAAACGGCAGCATTATTATCATGAGGGGACTGCCGTCAAGCCGCGAAGGGTCTGCTGTCGAGCCGCGACATTATCATCATGAGGGTACTGCTGTCAAGCCACGAGGGGTCTGCCGTCAAGCCGCGACATTATCATCATGAGGGGTCTGCTATCAGGCTGCAAGAGGTCTGCTATCAAGCCGTGAAATCTTCTTAACAAGAAGCTTGCGATGGAGCCGCGGCCTCGTCGTCATTGTAGCCGAATCACCACGTCGGGCCGCTAACGGCATCATGACAGCTGTAAAAGTTCCCAGCGAGCACATCCAGGCGGCTGTAAAGGCCTCAGCAGCAAATTGCCATCCCGCCACGGCACCGAATTTATGCCCTTCGTCGTTGGAACGTAATGAATATGTTATGGAGATAAGATAGGGACGCCTCAGACGAAGAAAAGTTACTGCTCTGTTATGAATGAGTTAGTAGTGCGTAATTGACCACTTGGATATGTTTTCGTGCAGCTGGACCCTGACCAAGAGACATAATTATAAGCGAGAACAAAAATGGCTCCAATGCCGAGAAGTGGATGTTATAGACAGCCATTAACCTGAACGGGTAGAAGATATCCATTTTTTAAAGTCGCAGCGATAATTGGAGGTGATAAAGTGCCATCGCCCAGAAAGTGTACAGGCATCCGTTTCTAAAACTCGCAGAGACAGTGTCCAAAACTGAGGTACGCAGATTGTTTGGGTTATCTCTTTCTCATAAATAGACGGCAACAACGTGGCGCGAGGATCCAGATGGTGTTATCCTTAAACATTATGTGTTTGTAAGCGACGTCGCACGATGATGGTTGTTACGTGCTCCTATTTCCTGGTAGGGCTGAAAGGGGTTTATTATTATAAACACGAATAACGAAAATGTGCTTGCGAGCCAGGGCAGTCGGAACGGAAGCTGGAATCGGGCAAATGACGACGGAAACCAGACAAGACCACGAACAAATTGCGCGTCTGAATGAATCGTATCGAGCGTGTGGTGTCTACATTCACTGCAACAATAAAACATCTTCTTTATCTGGCGGGTTTTCCTAAAAAACACAATTTTTCACATCTGAAGACCTCTGCATTAAATGAAAAATTCACCCTGACGTGATGTTTCCAGGGAGCATGCAAGCTTATTGCTCACCAGGGTCAATTAGGATATTATCCGATTAGTAAGTCAGATTGCTCGTAACTGCGCAGCTCGATGCCCACCCAATGCTTATCTTCCATGCCTGTTTTAGCTGGGTGTGGGGATACCGCCGAACGTCTGGTTGATCATTCATTCTGCGTGAAATGAATAACAAGTATGGTTGGTGTTCACGGACGCATCGGCATTAAGGTCATTCCGCCATTAAAGGGAATGTCCCACCTTTGGAACAAATTGCAAAAACAAACAAATATGATCTGGTGAACTATCAGGGGCTGCCATTGATACCAATAGCGCTGGGGGGGGGGGGAGGGGGAGGGGGGGGGGGGGGGTAGAACTGCATCGCCAACACGATGTTGAGAGCAAATCAACTTTGTGTATTTCCGAGCCCAAATTACACGGTTGACAGTTCAGACCAGCACCGCACTGTTTTTCTGAGGCCTTGGACGATTCCAGCGCCAGCGAGACGGCGTTCACCATTGTAAAGTTTATGATCCTTTCGTATGATTGCTGGATTTTACACACCGTATTTAAACTGTGAATGAAGGCATTCAAAATGCGGAAACATCCCCATTCAACACGCGATGGTTTTTTTCGAAAGCATTGCATAATAATCATTGCAAAACGGCATTGCAGCTCACGACGGATCATCTATTCAAAGACAACAGTCAGAAGTTGTGATTGTCTCTTAATATACGCCATTGGTGGCTTATAAACAGTGAAGGAATGAAAGGTGTTCTTTGTAACCGTTAAGTCTCATTGCTACCGATAACATATCAAATGCCTACTTCTGCACCGTGTTGTTGGTACATTTCTGCAAGTAAAAAACTGGTAATGTATAGCTGAATGCACGAATGGCGAATATGTTGAACCATGATCAAAGGAATTCAAAAATGATTATGTTATGCTCATGCCGTTACAGCAAACTAAAGAAATATTATGCTAGATCGAATTCGTGAACGAACGTTGCAATTTCATCTAACTTTTCTGCGAGCCAAGGGGAATGTGGCTAAATGCACGAAAAACCGTGCAAACTGACAATCAATACACTTCGGCAAAAGGTGGAAACCAGAACTCCTGCATTTGTTTGCCATCATGTGCTCAATGTCCTGCTCAACACGTAAAGGCTGATTTCCCAAAAGATATTTGATGATAATTACGCAACATTAGACTCCACTTTG